GGTTCCAAAACAGGACTCTAATCTTCAATCTGCAACTCATGGCACTGTGTTTTTTTGAATTATAATCATGATTTTTATCCGCATGGAGAGAAGAGCCCAGAGGGGATCTTTTCGGCAGGCCTGATTTTCCAGCCCTTTGTCCCTTTTGTGGTTGCCCCTTGCTCTGGCCATGCAGAAGGGCCCCGAAGGACATGGATTTAAAGATGCCCACTCTGCTAGGGAAGCAGAAGGGAGCATGAGGGTAACAGGTGCAGCTTCTGTCTTCCTGATGCTCCTGGTCAAACACTTGCTAGACTCACTTTGTGCTGGTATAAAGCTGCTTCTGTGCTGTGATGGAAAAGAGCCTAGGAAACCTGTCCATAACACTTCCAATTGCCTCAATAGAAAAGATAGTGATGGATAATCACAGAACCACAGAATGTTCAAGGTTGGAAGGGACCTCTAGAGATCATCTAGTCCAACCTTCCTGCTCAAGCAGGGACACTAGAACATGTGGCCCAGGGTGGCATCCAGGCAGGTTTTGAAGACCTCCAGAGAAGGAGCCTCCACAACCTCCCTGGGCAGCCTGTGCCAGGGCTCTGGCACCCTCACAGTGAAGAAGTTCCTCCCCACATGGAGACGGAAGCTCCATAAGTTCCAGCTCCATAAGCTCCAGTTCCCCCACAGAGAGCTTAGCAATGGTGTGACTCCAGTGACTCTAGTCCAGGATGACAGCAAATGGATGGATCCATCCACACATGGATGCATAGATGGGTGGATGGGTAGTTGGGCACAAGGGGTACCTGTATGCATGCAACCCATCAGAGCCTGACCTGAGCAGCATGCCGGCACCAGCACAGGAGCCCGTGCCTTATCTGGGGCTCTTATCTGGGGCCGCAGCGAGGGCGGTGAGGAGCTATCGGGGAGGAGGGTGTGGGCGGCCGGGACCTGCCGGCCGGTGATAGAGCTCAGCAGAGGAGCTGCATCCCAGCCCCGAGCGCTTTCCCTTCTCATCCAGCCCTCGGGGGGACCCCTGGGGACCCCTGCACCCAACCGGGTCTGCTCTGCAGGGCAGGTGCCCCAACCAAGCTGAGGGGAATGAGCAAGACATCTTACATATGCCTGTCTTGGAAATGCCTTATCATGAATTTAAAAAAATAAATAAATAAATAAAATAAAAAAGATGAAAAGGCTGCTTTTGCCAATTTCTGTAGCTTTTTTTTGCTGAAGTTCTTCAGGGATAGCTTGGAAGCAGCCATTTCAACAAAGTTTCCCTTTGCCAGTGTCTGACCTTGTGCATCATTCCACTGGACCCCTATAGCCCTCAAGGGGATTTGGGGCTGAATGTGGCCCAGTGGATGCTTTTATAGGGACACCAGGGTAGGGATGTGGGAATAGGGAGGACTCACACCAGTGTCCTGGACTCCCTCCATGCAGTTCTGCTGGAAGAAACCCCCAAATTGTACCAAAAGGAACAAGGGTTTAAACAGGGAGACCTGAAATTAGAGATTCAATTTAGGAAATGAGTGGCTTTCTCTGACTTCTGAGCCAGTATCACTGGACACCTTACTGGAACGAGAGGGGGACATCTGGAGCCTGGTTTTTCTCTCCTCTCATACACTCCTACGGCCAACAGTTCATTATTTCTGTGATGAAAAATAAATTTATGTTCCTGACCTCTGCATCTGGGGGAAAAAAAGAAGAAGAAAAAAAGCTATTAAGATATATAATATCAGAGTAGGATATTGGCAGTGCTTCAGGAATGAGAGCCTGGGCACAGCTCTGCTTTCCCACAGCAATGGCCAGGGGACAGGTTTGCTGTGGGAGCCCAGGTACAATTGCACAGTACATTTTGTAACAGAAAGTCCTTTTCTGCCCCTTTTTGGCCATTTTTTTTTTGCATTCTCCTACAGCCAGAGGCTGAATTTGGCGTAGGGCAGTGTTTGTTTAACCTGCAGTTACGTCTTCCCTTGTTTATGATCATGATGCAGCAGCATTTTGCAGTGCGTTTGTGCCGAGTGCTGGGGGCAATGATCCAGAGCTAAATTAGATAATTCTCCTTGTGGTAATAACACTAAACTCTCTGCCTACACACCATAACGCTGATCTGCTCCGAGCCCTCATCGTGCTGCTCCATAACTCTGCTATTTGTGGCCTCTGCTCCTCACTCTTTTCCTACCCTCCCACGGGTGGAAACGGCACCTGCAGAAATTTCCCTTGGCTTTCATGCTAAAAGCAAAAAGAAGCCCCAGGGGGTGAAAAATGGGGCAAATTGTGGTGATTCAGCTCAGTCCGTATCTGCTCTACATTTTCCCCAAATTGGTTGTTGATGTGGTCCCCAGTGGGTCGGGGAAGGAGCTGTGATGGATTCCTTAGGGAGAGCAGCTCATAGCCCAACTCTGTGCCCAAAGTGACATTTCTGGAGGTGTCTCACTACCATGGCTATAGCTAAGTGTGGCTATACATATATATACATATATATATATGGCATTCGAGTTCAAACAAAGCACCAGTGTGAAACCGGACGCAGGGCAGAATTGGGCTCGTTTGTGACTTCACTGCACAGAAAGGTCATTGCCATGATAAATTCTCTTCACCCAGCTCAATGCAGACTCCAAGTCACCTCTAGGCTGCTTAGCTGTCTGATTCACCTGCCGTTTTTCCTTTTCCGTGAGTGCCTGTCCTCCAGGATTTAAAGCTTAAAGAATGATCATGTCTGTAGCACTAGCTATTAGCATGAATCAATGCCTAATCAATGAGCTCCCGTCCCCAAAATAGCCAGGGTGACTTCAGACTTGCTTTCTCCTTTGCCTTCCGTGGCACTCCAAGACCATCACTCAACCCATCCTGCCAAGAAGTGGCTCTGCTCCTCACGCTTCTCAGTGAAAATGGGACCTGAAAAGCCCTGAATACAGGATCAAGTCCTGGATGGTTCTTGGGTCCCTGCTAGTTTTTCTGCAAAACCTAGAAAATCAGTCTTTATTAACTGCAGGTTCCTGTTAATAGCAGTATTAGAGCTAATGTTCCTGCCCTGATCTCTCCAGCTTTGCATCCTTCTGTGCTTCCCACCAGCCCTGAGCTTTTTCGTGCTGCGGCTTCAAATGCAGCCAAAAAGCATCATTATCATTGCTCTTGTGAAGTGCAGCTTTGCAGAGCCCTGTCACAATGGCACTCCTCATAATAGACTCAAATGTAGCCTCAATTTCAGGCTGGATCTGCCAGCAAATTCAGGAGGAGGGAAGATATAAATGAAAAAGCCATATTAGACCATTTATTGCTATCCCCCAGCTGGGCAAACATCTGCTTATGTCACCTCTGTGCTCAAAGATTCAGCTGGCTGACTCACATGATGGGAATGTCTATGGATTTAGGGCTGCACGTGGTTGGTTTTAGTCTCTGAGTCTGCTTTTATTAAATAATTAGCACTTCTGAGGTGCCCAGGTCTCCTTGCAGGCTGAGGTTGTGACTCCACGTCTGTCTTTAGCGGCCTGCGTGATGCATTTATCTCTGTGGAGCAGCCTGCTCTCCACACTGCGTTATCAGGCCACTTCAGCAAGGGAAAGGCCGCTTTTCTGCTGAAAGGGGCCTGTGGGCCTTGCTTTGCATTCAGATATTTTAAAATTAAATGAAAGAATTTCTTCCCAGGATCCTGCAGCAAGGAGCTGAAAGGTGACTCTACCAGAGAGCCACCCCAGCAAGATCTCACCTTTTTGCAAGGCAAGACCATGATCCTGCTAAACACTGATCTATGGAGATTGACTGGTACTGGTCTGTGACTGGAGTAGGTCAGGAGTCTGGATGAAAACTTCTAAACTGGGCAAATTTGCACGCCAAGGTCTTGTTTGGATGCCAAGTCCCTTGTACATCCAGGTGTTGCATTTCTGGATCATGGTGGGAGCAGCACTGATCCTGCCCAGCCTTAAGCATTCTATGACTCTACAACTCTATGCTCTTCAGGAGAAACACAGGGCATTTCAATGGGAAAGCGTGCCTCTGAGTCAAAGACAAGACCTTTAGTCTTTAGTCTTTAACCTTTAGTCTTTAGTCCACCCTGAGCTGGTGGACATGGATGTCACTAGACTGACTGTAATGTGGCTGATCCTGTTATCCTCATGCAAAGCCTTTAATTTCCCAGAATAAAGAGGGTGCTAAATTGCTTGCCTTGCTCATACTGTTTTAATATTACAAAAAAAAAAAAAGGAGGGAAGCCTATCTCATAGGCAGGAACATCCCATCCGCGGCTCACCTTGGCACCAACGTCGTGCAGAGCTCCCCTCTGAGATGCCAATGCACAGAGGAGCTCTGCCCAAGGCTTCTGGGCCAGAAAAGGTGCAGCCTCCTGCTTGGCTAATGCAAAGCAAAGCCAAACGTCCTTCCCTTTGCAGCATCCAGCTCAGGTGTTGGTGAACTGGATCGATGGGCTGGTGTTCTCCACGCTTCTGCTTAGACAGAAACGCAGGGGTCGAGTGTGGATCTATATGCCCAGAAGTGCAGAGCTCCTGACCAAGGCAATAGCACTCAGAAGCCCTGGTAACAAGCTCCTGTTCAGAGCGGCCTATGGAGGCTGTGCATTGCATCAAGGTCATGAAGATCATGAACAAGGTCATCTACCCCCTAAGAGACACCTCCTTGGAGCTGAGAGAACCTGTGCATCTTGCAGAGGACTCAAAGCCCAGGGAGTTCCGTGCATGAAGCCGTGGTGTTCACCCTGTGTCGTGGTCAGTGCTTTCTACAAGCGTTAGTGCATGGGGGCCAGCATGTGGACGCATGTGGGGTGAGCCCTTGTGCAAGGAGAGGGAGATAACAGGGTATTGAGTCCTGACCAAGCCTGTTAAGCTTTCTGATGGACTGTTTCCCCGAAGATCACACCTCAGAGCAGACTGACCACCCCAGCCCTGGCCAATGGCCCCGCGTCGTGGCGTGGGGAGGAGCGGCCAGCAGCAGATAAAAGGCACCAGGGGTCCACGCTGCAGACACACGCTCCGGTTCTCCTGCCACGACGAGCAAACACCGCCGCCACCATGGTGCACTGGACTGCTGAGGAGAAACAGCTCATCACCAGCATCTGGAGCAAGGTCAATGTGGAGGAATGCGGAGCCGAGGCTCTGGCCAGGTAGGTTGGGCTCCTGCGGCCGCCGAGCACTAAGAAGCAGGTGCCATTGGGGAATGTTAATGATATCTGAGTGTCTCTTGTGTCCCTCAGGCTGCTCATCGTCTACCCCTGGACCCAGAGGTTCTTTGAATCCTTTGGCAACCTCTCCAGCCCCACTGCCATCACTGGCAACCCCAAGGTCCGTGCTCATGGCAAGAAAGTGCTCACCTCCTTCGGGGAGGCTGTGAAGAACCTGGAAAACCTCAAGACCACCTACTCCAAGCTGTCCGAGCTGCACTGTGAGAAGCTGCACGTGGACCCTGAGAACTTCAGGGTGAGCAATGCTCAGGGCCTGTCCTTTTTCTCCTCCCTCCTTCCTTCTGCCTCCTGGGGCAGCTTGGTGCCAGGGGGATTTTCAAGGAGAATCAATAGCATTGAAGGAGATGGAGCTAGATGGGATGGAAAACATGTTCTTAAGAGGGAGACAGGGGAGCTTGGGGGTTTGCTAATCACACAGAAAGGGGTCCAGGCTGTGAGGCATCTGGGGACAAGGACTGGTAGGTGCTCCAAAGCCCTGCAGCCTGGCCCAGGCAGACCTGGAGTCCAACAGGAGAGGGATGTAATGGGATCGGGATGCAAAGGAGCAAGGAGGAGCAGGTAGTGAAGAGCCACCAGGAGAGACTCAAGGGGGATGGATGTACCAATGCTGGATTTCAGCTCCATTTCAGCCTCTCTTCAAGGCGCACTTTGGGGACAGAGCAGGGGCTCCTTGCATTGATCCAACCCTCTGGTCAAGAAGTTGTGAGGTTTAATAGCCAAAAAAAAAAAAAAAAAAAAAAAAGGAAAAGTTGGAGAAGGTGAAAATAAAGACTAGAGGCTGGAAAAAGCAGATATGAGTTAAAGTAAGGAGGATGAGGCAAGGTAAATACAGATACATGCTGTCAAGAGGCAATTATTTTCTGTGCAGAGTATTCAGCTACAAGAACTTCTCAAGTGCTGCTTCCAAGATCCAGGTGCTCCCCGTCCTTGCCAAAAGCTGGGGCACCAGGGTGCTGAGCAGGGCAAATGGGAACACCCATCTCAGTGCTGACCTGATCTTCTTCCTCCTCCTTTCCAGCTCCTGGGTAACATCCTCATCATCGTGCTGGCCGCCCACTTCACCAAGGACTTCACTCCCTCCTGCCAGGCCACTTGGCAGAAGCTGGTCGGCGTGGTGGCCCATGCGCTCGCCCACAAGTACCGCTAGACCCTCTGGTGGGACACAGGGCTCTAACAAACAATAAAATGCATTTCCTGAACCACTCCGTGATCTCTCTCGTCTCTGCAGCTGCTGGTGGGGTGGAGACCATGGGGATTGAAAATTGAGGGGGAAAGAGGTGCTCGGGGCTGGTAGGACCTTGCTCTGTCAAGGTCTTGGTGTCGTGGGAGGATAAACTAGCATGGGTTCACTGCAGCTGGTTTCAAGAGAGATTTGGCCTTTCACATTTTAGCACTGCTATCTGCAAGATTTCAGCAAATTATTTTCTTGGAGATGCACTAAAGACATTGCATGGCCTTGATCTGAATAGGACAGCTAAAGCCAATATGTGTGGTCTAGAGGGGAGGCACCAAGGGCTTGACTTATATACTGATCAGAGCCTTTTTTACTCAAGTTAATGGTAATAATTGGTAAATTAGGTAAATGGTAATAATAAATGGTTAATGGTAAAAAAAAAATGGTTTTTTTTGTTGGATTCTGCATATGTGCAACAGCTTCAAGAGTAGCTTTAAAGCATAGCAGACAAGCATATCTAGGTCCCAGAATGACGTTCCTATTGGCAATGCCCAGGGCATCCTGATTTGGGAAAAAAAAAGAGGGAAAGGGAGGGCAAAACTACCAAATTAAAGTTTTCTGGAACCCACCCTTTTCATTTTGATCAGAAAATGGGCATTTCAGCGTGATGCCAGCCTGATTTTCAGCACAAAAGGTCATTTCAAAACACTGGCAGTTGCCACCCAACAAGAAAATTCTCCTTTGCTCTTTGCCACCTGCTTGAGGCAGAGGTGGGTGTAACTGGAACAAAATGTATGTGTCCATGGGTACCTTTGACAGGGTGCAGGTCAACACCATATATACGGTGTGTTTGCCTGTGCATTTGCACCTTGCCTCCTAGCCTTGCAAATATTTGCTCACAGAGCTACCTCGGGCCTCAGCAATATGTTTCAGCCTCATTATCTGTGAATGTGTGCATCGTTCTGCTCCTCCTGTTCCATCCTGTGCCATGGTGACATCCCATTGGTGGTCATTGCCCTCAGCATGCCCAGAAAGGAAAAGGTGAGTCCTTGCTTCACCACTAGCTAGGTGCATGGTGGACTAGGGATGGTTGGAGGGTTGCTTCACTTTTGGTCTCTTTATTTGGGGTCAGAATGATTTTTTCTTATGAGTGAGGTTTGGCAGGGATGCCATTGATGTTCCTCTTCTTTTGGGATCTCAGTCCACTCCTAGTCTCTCACTCAAGCAGTTTCCTCCTGTGATGAGTTTCAGTCACTGGCATTGGCAGGTCTCCAGAGATCAGAGGTGCTTCAATCTAATCTAACCTGCTGTGCTCAAACACTGGCCCATGGTGCCTGTGTCAGACAGGAGGTCCAGAGAGTTCTCAGTGGTCCCGTTTCATGATCTGAGAAAAATGATTTCTATGGAGGCTGGAGACTACTTGCATGCTTCACATTCCTCCCATGAGGACAAATTCCTCTTACTCGCTAAAAGTGACTAACTGGCCTTATTAAGCACTTAAAGGTATAGACAAGGGGTAGGGTGGTATTGTGCACCTTGAAAGAGGCATTTAGTGTGCCATACTCTCCAAGCAAGAGTTGCCCCTCTCTTGCGTACAGCTAGAGCAATCAGGAACACCAATAGCCCCATGAGTAGGGATAGAGGTGAGTGCTGGACATTGGGCTGGATGAACACAACAGGAGGTCTGGTGTCACACAGAATCACAGAATCACAAAATCACAGAATCACAGAATGGTTAAGGTTGGAAGGGACCTCTAGAGATCATCTAGTCCAAAACAGTGGACTAGATCTCTTTTCTCTCTTCTCTTCTCTTCTCTTCTCTTCTCTTCTCTTCTCTTCTCTTCTCTTCTCTTCTCTTCTCAAAATAGTGCCAAATCTCTTCTCAAAATAGTGCCAAATAATGTTAAATAGCGCCAACAGTGTCAAAATGGTGCCACCTCATCCCAGCAGCAGCCAGCCCAAAAGGTCTTTGCAAAAGGAAGGATTTCGATGGCCTATCCATCCTTTGCAGCCAAAGAATGGAGGCACCAGCAGAGGAAGTGTCTCTCCCAAAGACACTGCACCAGAGCAGGATCTCAAGTGCTTTCCTGGGCCACCTCGCTGTGCAGACCATGTTCCCCAGAGAGCAGAGCCCAAGTATTGGGCAAAGGCCATGCGGGCATTGGGCACACAGAGACTTTTGGAATCTAGAGCCTTTGCCAGGTGGCTCCAGCCCAAACGGTCTGGCTGGGGTCTGAATGAGCAAGGTTGGGTGCTACAGGACTGTTTTGGTACATGCACATCAGCATATTGCTCCCTGCTGCATCCTTCCCTGGAGGAAGAAGGGAGGAAGGAGTGAGCTCCTGCCCCAGGTTAGGAAACCACGGGGCTCTCTGGTAGAGGAGGGAGATGGGAACAAACAGAATGAGAGAGAGGACACCAGCAGGACAGCCTGGCTCAGCAAGTGGAGGTCTGGAGCAGAGGAAAGAGGGGCTGGCGAGGATCCAGGACAGCAGGGGCTGGATATATCTGCCACTGCTTCTGATAAGGGCTCTGGCAAAGCTTGGTGAGGAACACTGCCTGCTGCAATCAGAGTGACCAGTAAATTCTGCTTGTTTCACAAAGGCCATCATAGGATCATAGAATCATAGAATGCCGAAGGTTGGAAGGTTGGAAGGGACCTCAGAGGTCATCTAGGGTGACCCCCTGCTCACGCAGGGTCACCTAGAGCACGTGGCACAGGGCTGCGTCCAAGCGGGTTTTGAAGATCTCCAAAGAAGGAGACTCCACAACCTCTCTGGGCAGCCTGTTCCGGCCTGTTCCATCACTTTAATAGCCCTTCTCTTATAGCTGGGTGGTTTCCATGTGAGAAAACGGTTCTTGTTCCTGATGGACCACACAGGCAGGGAAGGACCCTGCGGTCAGTGTCACCCGCGTCATGAGCAGACAGCTGTCTGCAAGGATGCTCCAGCTGTGAGTCTGGAGCACGTGAATCCATCCCCCGTGGACAGAAGAATACAGGACCCATATTCGTTTGGTTCTGTGAATGAGACAGGAACTATGGAAGTTGCTTCAGTTTGGCACCTCATGATAGACTCTTCCCTCCTCACTCTGTGAGAGGATTTCTTAGAACATCTTTGTGTCTGACTAAGAATCACAGAATCACAGAATATTCAAGGTTGGAAGCAACCTCTAGAGATTATCTAGTCCAACCTTCCTGCTCAAGCAGGGACACTAGAGCATGAGGGCCAGGGTGGCATCCAGGCGGGTTTTGAAGATCTCCAGAGAAGGAGACTCCACAGCCTCCCTGGGCAGCCTGTTCCAGGGCTCTGTTACCCTCACAGTGAAGAAGTTCCTCCTCACCTGGAGATGGAACTGCCTGTGTTTCAAGGAAGGTTAAAACTGAAAAGCCTTCGGGAGTTTTTCATGCTTTTCCCCTCTCTCAGCTGATGGTTGATAGCAGCCCAGAGACATGAGCTCCACTGCTTGAGGTGGTGTGAAAATTGCTCTGAAGAAAGAAGTTGTTAGGAGGGGCTGATGTTTACCAGCAGAGACCCCATGAGCTCAGGAGATGCTGCTGTCTCCAAGAGCGAGCAGGAAGGATCACACAGGCTGAGGAGGGACAGAGCTGAAGGAGAAGGAATAGGGCAGAAGGCGAAGCTCAGCAAGCCCCTAAGTTAGTCATTCTCCAGCATCTTGCATCTCAGGTGGGACCAGCATTAGGAACTGCTTTCCAGCACAGTGTGTCTCAGCTGTTGTGGGTGATGCAGTGCCCAGGGACCTGTAATTAAGAGCTGTGCCTCCAAGATGGGCTCACGTTCTCTGGTCATGAGGACGAGAAACGGATTCTGACAGACCTTAAACTCAGAACAGTAGGGACAAGTCTGAAGCTTTTTGGTAGGAAGGACAAGGAAGGAGGTACTTGTGTTTAAGGTGGAGTGATAGAGAACAGAGGGAAAAAAAATCTTGTTTTTCAGCAAACCTTTGCCTCTCAGAGGTGGTGCTGGTGATCCTTGGGGCTGTTCAGGATGAGTGCCCATGGAGTCCACATCTATGCACCATCAATGGCCTCAGAAGGAGGCCAGGGCTGAGACTGCAGTCTATGACCATCACTGCTTGTCCCCTTGGCTTTGCATTTCATATCAGTCCCCACCACAAGAGTGCAAATCGGTAGCAGAGGAGAAACCATGCAGGTAGCTCCCCCTGCACCTGTAAGCACATGGGTACGTGGTGCCTCTTGTCCAATCAAAGGCAAAAGGGGGCAATTGACCTCTATTCCCCTTGGACAGTATCCAAAATTGCTATCTCTCTTTGTGCAGCACAGCTTCCACCCCATCCCCAACCACAGGCCACATAACTGAGATTAGGCCAAGCTGTCCTTCATTTATAAAAATCCCTGGGAAAGACATCAGTTCCCCTTCCTCATCGTTGCCCAGTGAAGCCCCCAGCAAACCCTCTTGCTCCACACCACCAAAATGCTGAGGAGGAGCAGCTCATCACGAGCATCCAGAGCAAGGTCAATGTGACCAAGCACAGTGCTGAAGACTTCGCCAGGTAATTCTGGCCACCATGGATGCAGAAACTGCTGCAGGTGCAGGCAGAGTGTTAATGATGTCTGTGTTTCTGCCTGTGTCCCCCATCCCTTTCTCCCCAGGCTGCTTGTCTTTTACCCCTGGACTCAGAGATTCTTCGCTTCCTTCAGCAAGCTCTCCAACCCCACTGCCATCCTTGGCAGCTCCAAGATCCAAACCCATGATAAGAAGGTGCTCGCTTTCTTCAGGGAAGCTGTGAAGAACCTGGACAACATCAAGAAATTTGTTGTTTAGCTGAGCAAATTCCACTGTGAGAAGATGCACGTGGACCTTGAGAATGTCAGGATGTCAGACCTGGGTCTTCACTGAAACAGAGGTTTCTGTTCTCTGAGGGCTTCAGAGGAACCTCATAGTCCCCAAGACCCAGGAACGAAGTCCTCCAAGGGTGCCCAAACCATGGATCAGATGAATAGGTATATCTAAGCAGTCAGCAAGAAATATGGATTATAGATCTGCAAGGCCCACCCACCCTGTGTGGGTGATATGAGCATGAGTGAAACACCGAGGAGAACACAGGCAACTTGCAGATTGAGCGGAGGAGAAGCAGTGCTGGCCCAGAACAGCCAGAGAGCAGAAGGGAAGAAGTGGAGGCAAGGTTTGAAGTGAGGAGCTGATCTTGGGCATGGGGGAATGGTTGAATAAAAGGAGAAAATAACCCCTGCCATTTCTACAGAAGGAAAGGATCTGAGCCAAGTGAAAGAGAAGGAAGGTAGGGAAATAAAAGGAGAAGGGACAGAAGGGAAAAGGAGGGTTTGAGGAGGATGATCCATCCTCCAGGCACCCTGGTGACTGCTAGGGACGCAAACTGTGTGGAAAGGTTTGTGCTGCCAAGTAGTGATAAATCAGTTCCGTGTTTTAACATGAATCCTGCAAAATCTGGAGCTGGGCTGTGGTCCCAGACATGTGGGGCAGTTGGTCAGTTGGTTTGTCCATTCATGGACCAGAGCAGGATGACTTGGGGTGGAAGGCCCATCTCCTGGTGACCATCTCCTCCCTTCGTCCTCGGTGACATCCTCATCATCATGCGGGCTGCCTGTTCTAGCAAAGAGGTAACCTCCCCCTGCGAGTCCACTGGGTAGAAGCTGGTCCATATGGTGGCCCACGTGCTGGCCCAACCGGATCACCAACGCACTGCTTCCCGTGGGAAATGGGGACACACTGACGGCTGCTGAGTGCAGCTCTCCATCGAGGAATGTCCTCCCGCTCCCCTGGGCCCTAATTGCTAATAAACACCGAATGCTCCGCTCATGAATGGGCACCTGCATGAGGATGGGGCTGCTGGGCTGACCTCAATGCCAGAGGAGTGAAGATGCCTGAGTTCATGGGCCAATGCAAGCCACTTTTATGCTTTTGTGAAGGAAGCAAGACCGCTCCATGCAGAGAAAATCCTGGGGAATGTTCAAGGCCATAACAAATAAACACACAAAAATTAAGGAGGAAATTAAAAAGCTCTGGTGGTTTATTGAGAGAGCACAGAACATTGCTGTGTTTAATATTTTAGTTTTTTTTGCAGATTAAGTGGAATATTTCCTTCTGTACTGATGTTAGACAATAATCAGGGAAGCTGGGTCCATTTTTTACAATTTCTTCTAGGGAAAGAAAAAGGCTATTTTACTCTTTGTCTGAATTAGATTGTTAACAGGAGAGTGTTATAGACACAGGTAACTTTCATAGCCGAGGATGGTGGTTTTATGGACATAAGGGACAGGGTATCTGTTCTCCCTGTCCCACACATATAACACCCCTAGATCCAGATAACCGCCTGGGGACACATGGAGGACATCTGCACAGTGGACTTCTCTCCCCTGGGTGCTCACACCGCATTTTGGGGGAGAAAGCAGAGGGAATAGCTCCAAAGCAGGTTTCCAGCCTCCTCTGCAGGGGCTGGGGGACATCTGTGTTCACACAGTATCACAGAATGGTAAAGGTTGGAAGGGACCTCTAGAGATCATCTAGTCCAATCTTCCTGCTCAAGCAGGGACACCCAGAGCATGGGGCACAGGGTGGCATCCAGGTGGGTTTTGAAGTTCTCCAGAGCAGGAGACTCCACAACCTGCCTGGGCAGCCTGTTCCACTGCTCTGTCACCCTCACAGTGAAGAAGTTCCTCCTCACCTGGAGATGGAACTGCCTGTGTTGCAACTTGCACCCATTACCCCTTGTCCTGTCACTGGCCACCACTGAGAAGAGCTTGTCCCCTTCCTCCCTACATTCCCCCTTCATGAACTTCTACATGTTAATCAGATGCCCTCTCAGCCTTCTATTCTCCAGGCTAAACAGACCCAGGTGTTGCTGGGGCAGTGAGACCATCACCCTTACCAGGACACAAGGCTCTTTGCTGCAGACCCTAATGAGCTGTTACAGGAGAACTGGTCCTTCCTGCCCCACTGTGGGGAAATCATCTCTTGTTCCTGCTCCTCTACCCTCTGCAAAGTCACCAGGACAGGTCTGCTGCTGTATGCAGTTCCCAGTATAACCGGTCTTCCCATCTCCTCTGGGGCCTCTGCACACTGAGATCTTGCAGGTGCTGCAATGCTTCCTCCCAAGCACCTACTGACTGCAGTAGACTCTGCCTATGTTTAGTCCTACCTTGGAGCAAGCAAACTGCCAAATAATAAAAGAGGAAAACCCAAGTCTGGCAGGCTCTAAAAGAAGAGGAAAAAAGAGAAATCACTCGCACACATTGTGGCTTTCAGAGGGGCAGACCCAACAGCCCCACATCCTGGTCCTCTGCCCTGCACCATGGCATGGAGCCACCTGAAGGCCACCAGGTCAACCCAAGCCTTGTATCTCAGGAGGGTCCTGGGGGGCTGTGTAGTGATAGGGGGCCGTGCTCAGTGTTTGTGGGGGGCAAACACCGCAGAAGAGGCCATGGGTGGTGGCGCTGGTGGCGTTGGGCACTGTGCCACGGGTCCCACCCTGACGCCGCGTCCCCTCCCTGGGGGTGCCGGGGGCCCCCCGCATGCAGCCAATGGAGGGGGTGCTCGGAGCGGAGGAGGGGCCCAGGGGAGCGTATAAAAGGGGGGCCGGGGAGAGGCGCCGGCCCGCGGGCAATCCCCTTGGGAGCGAGAGCCGTGACTTCCTCCGCACCTCCCTGCAGTTACACGCGACCCTCCAGCCGACACCATGGTGCAGTGGACAGCCGAGGAGAAGCAACTCATCAGCGGCCTTTGGGGCAAGGTCAACGTGGCCGAATGCGGTGCTGAGGCCCTGGCCAGGTAGGTCAAGGGCTTGGGTGCCAGGACGGGGGCAAAGCAGCTCCGTGGAGGATGCTCTAACTGTGCCTATGTCTCTCCTTTTGTCCCCCAACCCTCTCTCTCCCAGGCTGCTCATCGTCTACCCCTGGACCCAGAGGTTCTTCGCTTCCTTCGGCAACCTCTCCAGCCCCACTGCCATCACTGGCAACCCCATGGTCCGTGCCCACGGCAAGAAGGTGCTCACCTCCTTCGGGGATGCCGTGAAGAACCTGGACAGCATCAAGAACACCTTTGCCCATCTGTCCGAGCTGCACTGCGACAAGCTGCACGTGGACCCCGAGAACTTCAGGGTGAGTGATGGTCCCACACGGGGTCCGGCTGCTCCCCGGGCTCCCGGCCATGCACAGGGACTCGCTGCAGGCAGGAGGCCAGGGTGAGGGGCAGGAGGGAAGGGGCTGTGCTAAGCCGGGCTCAGTGGCTGCGGTCCATCCAGAGGGTGAAGCCAAGGATGGCAAAGAGGAAGAGAAGTGGTAAGGAGGTGGTTTGAGCACGGAAAAGGAGGTGGAGGGGAAAGCAAAAGCAGCTGTTGGGGCAGGAAGAGGTTTCAACCAAGGGAAAGCAAACAAGTGGGAGCAAAAGCTGGCATGGAGCAGAGTGACAGCTAAACGGGAAAGGCAAAAGAGGAAGGGGACTTAGAGGAGATGTGGGTCGTACAGCTCTTCACCTTCAGAGCGCTCCGAAGTCTGAAAAATCAGGCTAAACACTTCTAAAAAGCTGAATCTTTAGAGAACAAACTTAAGAACCTTCTGAAAGAGCATCACAGTGTCCAGGGAGGTTCTTACGGAGCAGTGGGAAGCGTCCCTGGGGCTGGGATGGGTGCTTGCAAGCGGGTCCGAAGGGTCCCGAGCGCTGCTGACTGGGCGCCTGTTTCTGCCTCTGCAGCTCCTGGGTGACATCCTGATCATCGTCCTGGCCGCCCACTTCGCGAAGGACTTCACCCCCGAGTGCCAGGCCGCCTGGCAGAAGCTGGTGCGCGTCGTGGCCCACGCTCTGGCCCGCAAGTACCACTAAAGCGCTGGCAGGAGACTCCTCCGGCCGGGCAGAAGGCGGCACAGAGCCGGCGGCATGTGACAACCTAATAAAAATCATCCCGTGAAGTCTCCAGCGTGTTGTCTGTGTCTCTGAGGGGTCTGGGGGGGGTACCCGCGATGGGGGGTCCCGCTCCTGCTTGCCCTTCTTGGAGGGACCGGGTGGAATTCGCTGCTCCAGGAGTGCTGCGTGAACAGAGCCCTGCTGCCCTACGCCCATGCCCAGCCCTTGGGGAAGTTTGCCTTGTGGAAAGAGACAGCGTTTTGCTGTAAAACACGGGTATTTCGTGGCCAGTGTGGGGGGGGGCATTTGTGTTTTATAAGGCAGATAAATAAAGTGAAGACTTTAATCCGCCCCAGCTCATCTCTGGCACGAAGCCTGTAAGAAACGAGCTGACTCACACCAGCTGGGTGTGGGCAGGTTGGAGATAAACATTTTGCGTCCTCCTATCAAGGCCGGTCCAGACCTTGTTTATGCACTTCTTTCTCGCCCTGCAACACCCACCCTGCAGCTTCTCAGGGGCCCCATTCTGCCAAGACTGCTGGATATTAATAATTTTTTGGATGTGGGCATCAGTGGATGTTCCTGGGCGAGCAAAGCCGCTCAGGCACCTGCACAACGCGGCTCCTTAGAGGTGTTTGCTCCTGGCGTGGGAGGAAATTCCAACCTCGGTTGTGTCTGCGCTGAGCATGAGTCAGTAAAAACGATTCTTGGCTGAAAGGGCATGTTTGCATTTTAAAAAGGGGGGAAATGAAGAGGAAAGGGGTATATATTGCAGGATCTTCCCAGCCCTGCCCCATTCTGCGTGCATCAGCATCCCCCCTTCTGTCCTGCTAAGAGGTGTCCAGTGCCCCCCGGTAGCCCCCAAATCCTCCTTCTTGTGCCCACTGCTCCGGGGGAGTGGGGCTCTGCTTCTTGTGTCAAAGCAGACATGGAGAACCCGTTTTTATTACTATTTTTACTACTATTCACATAATCACGGAATGGTTATATCATTATTACCATTGTTTTGTTGTGTCATTATTACTACTGTGCTCTTACTACTATTGTTACTACTGTGGCTATTATTACTACTAATATTGTTATTATTATTACCGTTATAAAGTATTAAGTGTTTTCCTCTCTGCAGAGTGGCCGGGCAGGCACAGAGCATGCTGTTATTACCAGATGTTTGAGGGGCCACAGCAATTAATGAGATGATTCAGTGAGCTTGATCCCAGATTTGGGGCAGAAATGACTAAATGACTTGAGCTGAGATGATTCAGTGAGCTTGATCACAGATTTGGGGCAGAAATGACTAAGTGACTTGAACAAGCAGGTCTGGCAAACAAGGTGCCTGGGGCCGGAAAAGAGCGATAATTCTGGGTGAGAGAAATGGGGAAGGAATGGGGTTTTTCCCCTTTCCTACTGTCAGGGCTCCCATTTCAGGTACCCCAACTCCAAGAGCAAAGGTTTCCACCCCCAGGACCTTGTGGCCACTGCAGCTCAGGGCGATACCCTGTGGGCACTGCCAGCACTGACTGCTGGATTCACAGAAATTTCGGTGCTTCAGTTTGTTTTCAGTGAAGTGAATTTCTGTTGTGAAAATGGGATTAATTTACTAATGAACAACACACCCACTATCACAAATAGTTAAAGACATAATAATTATTATCTGACTTGTAGATAAAGCTTTAAGTATAACTAGTAATTAACACAACCGGGATGCAATCATACTGCTGTCTTTGTTTATTCAATATTCACAGGAGAGAGGCATGGGAAAGCAATGAATCAATGATCAAAACCAGTCAAAATCAACAGGTTTACTCTTCATTTGAATGGCAGAACGAACAATAAATACTCTTCTTCTTCCTCAGTTTCATCACACATCCTCCCTGAGAGTGTTCTAGGCCCTCCCCTGTTCCTCCCCACAAAATGCAGAGCTGCATGGATGCCACATGTGCACACAATGCACAAAATGCATCAGATCCAACTGGATGCACCCGGTCCACCTGGAGGCATTGGATCCCGCGGGATGCATCCTCTCACCCTGCTCGTTTTCCTCCTGGGCAATAGCAGCCTGTGCAATAGCTGCCGCAGCACCCGCCGTGGCTCCTGATGTGGCTGATAAGAGCTGATAAGGCGGAGGGCGGTTCCTGCCCTCCCGGGCATGCAGGGGGACTGTGTGCACCTCGGGTGGCCACCTCGCTCTGGCACACAGCCCTCATATGCTGAGTTTTCTTGGTGAAAGACAGATGTTGGCCTTCCTCGCATGAAGAATTTTTAATCCTTCTTGAGTGAAAAATAAAAATAGTCCTATCACTAATAGGGAAAAAGGAGTGCTATTAAACTGAAAAATCCAGCTCAGAATTTTCCAGTTGTAGCTGATTTTCCTCCCCTTTCTGTATTTTCAGCATAGAGCAAGGAGACTCTTGGCTGGAGGGAGCAAGCCCAGGATCTTGTTCAGCCCTTTAGCCCTGCAGAAGCCCTGCTCCAGCACTGCCCCTGTTCATCCTCCAGGACCCAGTGCCTCTTGCCTATCCCAACATAAATCACACTTAAAACCCAGCTGTGGGATCAGACTCACAGCCATGGGGTCTTCAGCAAAGAATCTCATTCTCAGGTCTCTGAGCAGCCTCAGGTTCATGTGGGAACTCTTGCTAGTAGGGGCTAAGGCAGGGCAAGATCCACCACTTGGAAGGGTCAGAGCAGGAGGTTGCACATGCCACTGAATCCCATGCATTTTTTTTTTTTTTTTTTTGTAAAAACCTTGGGCTGTAATTGCATGGAATGAGGCTTTAAATTACATGATAATTGGCTTTTAGATTGCGCAGTAATTGGGCTTTAGCTTGCACGGTGATGGTGCAGCCCTGTCTCTGCAGAGGGGCCCACTGGTGGCCACTGGACAGCAGAGCAATGGGATAAAGCTCTTGGACTCAAGATAAGTTGATGGCCTCCCAGCGCGGGGTCCCCCACCCCAGCCCTGGCCAATGGCCCCGCGTCGTGGCATGGGGAGGAGCGGCCAGCAGCAGATAAAAGGCACCAGGGGTCCACGCTGCAGACACACGCTCTGGTTCTGGTTCTGGTTCTCCTGCCACGACGAGCAAACACCGCCGCCACCATGGTGCACTGGACTGCCGAGGAGAAACAGCTCATCACCAGCATCTGGAGCAAGGTCAACGTGGAGGAATGCGGCGCCGAGGCTCTGGCCAGGTAGGTTGGGCTCCTGCGGCCGCCGAGCACCAAGAAGCAGGTGCCATTGGGGAATGTTAATGATATCTGAGTGTCTCTTGTGTCCCTCAGGCTGCTCATCGTCTACCCCTGGACCCAGAGGTTCTTTGCCTCCTTCGGCAACCTCTCCAGCCCCACTGCCATCACTGGCAACCCCAAGGTCCGCGCCCATGGGAGGAAAGTGCTCACCTCCTTCGGGGAGGCTGTGAAGAACCTGGACAACATCAAGGCCACCTACTCCAAGCTGTCCGAGCTGCACTGCGACAAGCTGCACGTGGACCCTGAGAACTTCAGGGTGAGTGATGTTGGCCACCGGATCCCCATCCCTGCAAAATGTGGGGACCAACAGGTTTTGCCTTGAGCACAGAGCAAATGTAAAGAACTAAAAGTGACTGTCACAGGGTCCCATTTGTAGCAGCACTGGGTGCAGCACTGGGAAGGAGAAGTTTTAGGAAGGTGCTTGGCTTCGGGACAAGAAAAGCAAACTTGGATGCTGTAGCAGCATGGGTTGGATGAGTCCAGGATGGAGGGAAGCTGATCAGGTCAATTAAGAAAAAAACAGTTCCTACAGCAAAGCGAGCAGCTAACGTGCTCCGAAACAAGGATACAGTGGGAGGGAGTCAGGAGAAGGCAGTGGAGGTCATGGAGGCAGCAGGGTCTGGGCATGGGCTGCAAGGGAAAAGGGCAGAGCAGAAAGGAAAGAGGTTTGCAGCAGGGAGACAAAACTTGAAGAAAAAGGAAAAAAAAACCTGTTTGCAATTGGAGAGAAATAGAAAACAGGAGAGATCAGAGGAAAAGCAAAGCCTTCCTTGTTCTACCATTGCTCACTCCTTCATCCCCACAACGCTGACCCTGCATGTGCTCCCTCCCTTCTCTTCCAGCTGCTCGGGGACATCCTCATCATCGTCCTGGCTTCCCACTTCGCTGAGGATTTCACCCCTGCTTGCCAGTTTGCCTGGCAAAAGCTGGTGGGCATCGTGGCTCACGCCTTGGCCCGCAGGTACCACTGAGGCTCCAGGACCCACCGGGCAAGGAAGAGCCCCCCGCGCCACCGCAAGCACCTCCGAACGCGGGGAAAAGCCCTCAGGGCATTCACGGGCTGTAATGGTTGAATAAATGGCTCCTGAGGCCAAATCTGCAGCGCTCCTGTCTCTGTGTGCTGATGTATTTGAGAAAAGTTGATGTATTTGACTGGCTTTGAATGCTTTTTCCAGAAAAAATGCTTTTTCCAGCACCAAAGGTGCTGCTTCCCAAAAGCAATATATCATGCTATAGCAGGCATTCGTCTCCAAATACATTCGGTCCCAAAGTTTTCCCCCTTTCCAGCTGGGGACACTCACTTGGCAGCAAAATCTGCGAGCAAAACCCACTGCATTAATGGGTGTACAACCTTGGAGGAGCCGGTCATCCTTCCACCATTAAAAAGGGGGGGGGAAAAACAGGGGGAAAAACAGGATTGCAATAGGCCAAGTTTGGATATTGATTCACTGGGACAAGGATGACAATTTCCATTCTTCATTAGTTATTTTATTAAAAAAAAAACAGGGGGAAAATACAAAAATAACCAAGATATGAATACAATGGAATCGTATGAGTGAGCTGTTGGGCAGACAGGTCCCGGCTGCCACAGTGTCTAACTCAATGGGTTGATGTGCATCAGCCCAGTGCATCACCTGGGCTGAGGATTACAACACAAGTCAAAGTCTGTGATCTGTAGCTCCATTTAAGGTGTTTTTGTGCTGTTTTGGGTCAACAAGACCCTGCTTCTTGCTCGTGTGTGCAGCCAAACCAACAAGCATCCCAAGACCACCTGAACTCCTCTCCCGTCTGGACTACCTGGCTATTCCCTGCTGGCAGTTTACAGGATGTTTCTTGCCTTTCCTCCCATATGACTTATATGGAAGGGCTCTATGAACAATCCAGTCTAAAGACGCTTCTCTAAATTGGTTCTGTTCTGATGCTCTACGTGGCAGAGCTGGAGGTGGGAGGCAGGAGAATGCAGATGCTGCCCATCATGGTGCAGAAGATGAGGGATAGCCCAACTGGTCAAAGGCCACGTGGAGAAGCAGAGCTGTCACCAGGAAGGACAGAGAGAGAGCAAGCAGGGGTTGCAGCTAATCTCCATGGGCCAGAAGGACCACAGCACTCGCAGCTGCATGGATAGGCATGGCCCAAGAGCCAGCATGGAGAGGACATGACATATGGGCTGCTGGAGGCTTTGCTTGTGCAACATGCAGGATAACACAACTTCCAGTGCTGGCAATTGCAAATTTGCTGTGCTGCTGGTATAAACTGGGGTGGAAATGCAGGAATAGGCTGCTTCCCACCCAAGCAAGCTGCTCAGCAGGAAGGCTTGCCCCGGAGGTTGCTCATCTGAACTCCCCCGTGATGTGCTCCTGTTGCTTACAGATTGAAGCTGTGCAATGCAGGTTTGGATCAAATGCTATTTTAAAATGCTGAAAAAACCCTGAATCACCATGAATTACACCACGCAGTCTGGAAATATGAAGAACCACTCTTCAGTCTCAGCAGCAGGCTGATGGATTGCTCCTCTCTTTCTCACCGGCTTACTCAAGCCTGAGACAACACCAAAGGTCTGTGACAAATGAGCATGTCGTACTTCTTGGGACAGTCCATCAGGGAGTTTCCATTGACAGCACAGAGCAGTAAGTGAATGCACTGCTCAAGGAGAGGAGCAGAGAATGATCCCCTGTAAAAAATGCTTGGAAAAATAGCAATAAACTATATAAATTAGGAAAAAAAATCCATTTGCTGTATGTTGTTAGTGACTCATAAGTCACATGCACATTCTGATGGATGGTGCAATTCTTGCAATAATGACTAGCAAAACTAGTAGACCTACTGCAAGAGCCCTGGTAGAGCTGTGCAGTGCCCCAGGTTTGCTAAACACACTTAATGCATTAGGTGGAAGATAAAACTGGTCTTGCACATAACAAATATTAGGTATGGTTTTTACAAGTGTTAAGGAAAAGAATTAGTCAAACACCAGTGATAGGATAATTAATGAATAATTAATGGAGTCTGTGCCGTGAAAAAAAAATATATTAGGGGTATGCATTTTGTGTTTATCAGAATAAAACCCTTGTTTTCTCTGCCCTGAAGCACTCTCAGGAATAGCCGTGGCAAATTGCCTGTCTCCTGGGGATGTAACTTTAAGAACTCTTGCTAAGAGATATAATGGATTAATAAAACTTCGAAGCCTTTGAAGGAATTGTTATTCAAATGCTATTGTCAGTGTAAGGAGCGTGCTGGCTGGAGGACTCTCAGATTTAATTACTCATATCTGGTCTGGTTCCCACGGTCACCAGAACTGCAGGAACAGAAAAAAAAAAAAGAAATTTCTCTTCACTTTCCAAGAGAATGAAGCCGAAATGTTCAAAACTGACTCCATGCTGCCCCTGCTAGGATTATTTATAGCACGAGTCGTGATCAGATGTCTCTGCAGGGACTTCCTCCCTGTCAGAAATGTCAGCGTAGCAGAGAATCGACAAAGACAGGTCTTGCAGCTAGTGAGATGTGAACATATTCATAGCAACATGCAGGCACCTCCGGAATATGCTTGTGTTTTCACTCAACTAGAGATGAGGATAGACTGCAATGCACTGGCTTTGAATAAAAAAAAAAGATGCTTTATTGATTCTGAGGTGCAAATAGCGGGATTGTTTCCTCCAAGGTAGAGGGTAGAAACGCCCAGGCTGGCCATGGGTGCAGGGCACCTGCAGCCCTTCCCCAGGTGCTTGCTATTTACTCTACCTTTCGTGGGGATTTGAACAGAAATAGCTGCATTTTCCCTGTGTGCAAATAACCGCTGGGCTGAAATGTGCTTATCCAATGACATTTCCATTGTCTCTTGGATGCCTCTCACAAGATACCTGCCCGTTTGTATGCAAAACCCTTATCACCAAGAGGACCTCAGCACCTCCCCAGATCTCCTGCACATATCTGCACATATCTACACGTATCATATATGGCTTTGCCCATGCTTTACTCATCTCCTTGCTGCAGGGGCTCCTTGCATGAGGGCTTTGATGGCACTCAGAAAGCCTCATCTCCCACTGGTGAGACCGTCTGTGTCTATGTCTCACCAATGCCCACGTTCCCCCAGCCCCTTTGCACAGCCCTGCCATCCTCAACGAGTGCAAGACCCACGTTGTAGAGAAAAGAGGTAGGAGAAGATTGCAAGGGCTGGCCAGGAACAGGGCCACAATATTTTTTCCTGTGCAAAATCTGATGTCAACAGCAATGGCAACACTGCTGTGAAAGTCTTGAGAAACAGCATGTGGTTATTAAGAGATTTGAGATTCCCCATTAGCACCATTTAGAAAAGGAGGATTGGGGATCACTCCAGTGTGATTAATCACTCCAGTGTGATTAATCCTCTCTGATCTGCCTTCATCATTCCTTTTTCCTCTTCCTCCTCTGCTCTGTTCATTGCTTTTTCAGGCCAGATTATATTTCATAAGAGAGCTAGATACATGCTCATTTTCCATCCCAAACCAAAAGTGGTGGGATAAAATTATTTAAAATGATGAAATATGACCTGTGTTTTCATATCCAAAGACTAATGGGACTTAAGTGTAGTAATCCTCTTATTGCTGACACAAAATTAACACAGAAATCAAATTATTTCTGTTGTTGCTGGCAGCTTTACAGCCCATGTCCCTCAGTCTTCTTTTGCCCAGCCTACACAGCCGCTGCTGTGCAGATGGGGCCCCGTGCTCACAGAAATGCACTTTTCCTATTTACTGTACAAGAAATAGGGAGGGAAAAGTCCTTTTAAAGCAACCAGGCAAAATTAAGAGTTACGCATATGCATCTTTTGCGAATCTCATGTGCCCTAGCACGTGTCTCTGAAGGACACACACGCATGCACCTGTGTCCACAGCAAGTTGATGGCTCAAGCCCACATCTGGCCAAGTTCTGAGCAGCAGCTTCACCCTAGAGCCAAGGACTTCAGCTGGGGCACCAGGTCACACGCTATGGGCCCCAATCTATGTCAGAGAGATCCCCAGCATTTGCACCAGGAGATCAGAAACTCAGCACATGTGTGGGCATCCACATGGACACAGTGGAATTTAGGAGTCTGGAGATGAATTCCGTTCAGATGTCTTCTGCATCCAAAATTCATTGCAGAACTAATTGCCCTTGTTCAGATTTTGGCATTTGAAAAAATCATCTTTCTATTAAAAGAAGAAAGAAAAAAAAAAGAAAATTAGCTTTTTGCAGAACTAATTGCCTTTGTTCAGATTTTGGCGTTTGAAAAAATCATCTTTCTATTAAAAGAAGAAAGGGAAAAAAAAAAGAAAATTAGCTTTTTTTTTTCACCCATTTGTTTTCTGATCAGCTTTTCGTAAACATTTAGGATCCTTCTGGTTGTTCTTGCAGCATTCACCCTTGTGCTGCTGCCAAGCTGCTGGCAGATGGAGGTGTCATCGCACCCTGGGGATGCGAAGGGGAAGGTCACAGGTGATTCTAGTCCGTGCTGAGATTTCACATGGGTGTTATAAAAACAAACAGTTTCCTCCACATGTGGAACATTCAGCTGGGAGTGTGGTGTTGTGTCTGGCTGTCTTGCCTGTTGGAGGACTTGAGCAGCACAGAGGTGAGGGTATCTGCAGGGGCACCACCTTATTTGTATGTAAGCCTCAATTCGTCTTGGTGTTTTAAATGTTCAAGTGTTATTTTGCATTCAGATCTTGTGAGAAATGATAACTTAGGTCTGCAATCGGTTGCTTGCTCTCACAGTGCATTCAATGCACTCTGACAGCTATTTCGTGCTCTCCATCATGTAGCCACCCAGGTAGCTGCTACCAGCAAAATCCTTTATGTATTTATTTATCTTTCTACATATCTCCATTGACTATTTGCATCTATTCCTGATACAGTGTGTTGTCTGCTCCTGAGGTGTTCACTGGCCACCTTTCAGAGACCTTGCAGGAGTGCAATGTCTGAACTCCCCTGGCTAAAGGAGGGACATTTTCACAGAGAGCAGCAGTCGATGGCTTCACAGCATGTTTCAGTCAGGATTTAGAGCTCTCAAGTCAGTCTTAGAGCTGTATTTCTCAGGGGGATCTTTGGCAAAATGCAGGTTATTGAACATCTGCTTGCTGGTTGGAGCGGTGTCTTGCTCCTCTATCTGGAGCTGGGTCAACCCAGAAGCAGAAGCAACTCCTCTTGCTGGTGCTCGAGCTGAATAGCCCTACAAGGGGCATTTAAGGTAGGAGAGACATGCAGCCATGGGGCAATTTGAACGCATGGCATCGCTTCATGGTTGTGCGGACTTTCCAAAGAGACACGGGCAGCACCAGTTCTCCCTTCTCCCCATCCTCAGTCCGTGTCGTGCCACTGTGGGAGCTGGACAAGCAAAGCACATCGTCTCCCAGCTGAACAGCTCTTCACTCAGGTCATGCTCATGTGCAAAAGACATAAGCAATGTAAACTTTTATTTTTGCAGGATACCCAAAGCACATTTAGAAGGTGATGACGAGGAGACACGAGGCATGACTCTACACCCAAAGGCAGGAGCCCGGAGCTATTCATACTTGCAATAACGAGAGCACTCTGGAAAGCTGCCTGCTAATTTAGCTTATCAAGCCAATTATTGAGCTGGCGCAGTAGGAGTCAGCAGTGCAGATGCCTGGAACTTTGTCTGAGGTGTGCGGCAGCTGGAAATTGGACAGTTTCCATTTTTCTCAACATATTCATGAGTTTAGCCAAGTACGTGCAAATTAGGCAATGCCACGTCTCCTGTTTGTGTAGGCAGAGTGAGCACGAAATTGTGGAGTGTGGAGAGCTGGAAGTTTGAATTGTTCCATATCAATGACCCTGAAGAAAACAAAAGCCAAGCCTAGCACATGATTGCTTCTTCTCGAGCTGCTCAGTGTGTAGGTGGGTTTCACAATTCCTCTTATTTTTTAATCCATAATTTTAATTTATTTTTTAATAGAGAAATTCAGAGCCTGCATACAATGTTTACCCCCTGACAGCAGCTTTGCTTATATTAGTTGCATTTCTCATCACCCCCCTCTTTCTCACTGAGGCACCGTGTGTCATGGTTTGGAAGCTGTGAATGGTTCAGTAGAAGAAATGAGCATGACATTTGTGTGCAAATTGCTTTATTTTACCCATAACTATTAGCTGTAATAACATCAGTGCTAAGAGCCATAGTTGCTGTATATACTGATAACATGTAGGTCTACTGAAACACCTGCTACTTCCAGCCAGCTTGATCTGCTATCAGAAAGACTGTTGTGATGGCAATAAAAATCAATAATAAATAATAAATTAGATAAAATAATAAAATTCAATAATAAAATTCAATAATAAAATTCAATAATAAAATTCAATAAGCTCTGGTGTGAAGGAAAATGACAGTGTTCTAAATTTGCCAAGGTTAGACACGCCAGATTGCTCATGCCCCCTCTGGAATCAGAGCAGGTTGTAGATGAATTTCAGCAGTTGCTTCTGTTTCCATAACTCGTCCTTGGAGACAACCCCACCGTGCCAGGCAATGCACATACACAGCACAGAGAACCTCCTGGCACCTTGGGCATGGGGATAGATTGGGGAATAGTGGGACAGGCTGTAGTGTTTTATGAACTTGGTGTGCCTGGATGCAGAGAGCTGTAGGGAGACTCAGATGCACATAGAGACCACAGCCTGAGCGATAGGACAGAACAACGATGTTGCTTAGAGTGACAGAGAAGACACTGCAGCATCTTGGAAGGGAGGCAGCACCAGTGCAATAAATCATATTAATATCTGCTTGACAGGAAAGGAACCCAGAGGAAATGAAACTGGGATGAGAACTGAGTCCAGAACTCTAACGTTCTAGCCTCTCATCCAACGCATCTCGAGGGAGAAGAAAAGAAATTAGATCTTCAGCCTGAGTCCATAGATTGCATTCTGCTGGTAGTTTGCTTTCAGCTCCCTGTGAAATCTTATCCCACGTTACCTGGGAATGTTAATGGAAATTCAGCTCCAGTAAGGCTTGAGCCTAGAGCTAGCATGTCCCCAGGGAACAGCAGTGATTCCCTGGCCTTTCTGCTGGTAAGTATTCCTGGGCTGGCTCATTTCCACCGCTGGGTTGTCATTCCTTTCTGTCTCATATACCTCCTCGCAATGCTGGGAAACTGCACCATCCTTCTGGTGGTAAGAACATACCAAAGGCTCCATGAGCCCATGTACTATTTCCTCTCTATGCTGGCGATCACAGACCTGGGGCTAACTCTGTCCACCCTGCCTACAGTGCCACATGTGTTCTGGTTCGGCGTCATGGAGATCAGATTCCCGGTCTGCCTCACCCAGATGTTCTGCATCCATGCCTTTTCCTTCATGGAATCGTCAGTGCTTCTGGCCATGGCCTTTGATCGCTACGTGGCCATCTGTTACCCGCTGAGATATTCCTCCATCCTTACCCCTAGCAGGGTTGCAAAGGCTGGACTGGCGATTGTGTGCCGATGCACTATGACTCTGTTCCCCTTAATCTGCCTTCTTACACGGATGTCGTTCTGCAGGTCCCACGTGCTTTCTCACTCCTACTGTCTTCATCAGGATATGATACGGCTGGCATGCACCAACAGCACACTGAACAGCTTGTATGGTTTAACTCTAGTGCTGCTCATAGTGATCCTGGACCCTGTGCTGATCACCGTGTCCTACATTATGATCATTAAGACCGTGCTGGGCATTGCCTCCAGAGAGGCACAAGCCAAAGCCCTCAACACTTGCATATCTCATTTCTCCGCTGTCCTGGTCTTCTATGTCCCCATGGTCGGCCTGTCCATTATACACCGGTATGGGAAGGATGCTGCACCCATTAGCCATGCTCTCATGGCCAACATCTACCTTTTCATCCCACCTGTGTTGAACCCCATCATCTACAGTATGCAAACCAAGCACATTCGCCAAGGGGTGGTCAGGCTCCTGTGTCAAAGCCTGGCCTGACCTGGTCATGGCCAGCAGCCTTGGGACCTCTGAGATATGGGAAGCTTAACAAAGTGAAGAGCACAAAAATGCCTGCAAAATGTGCTATATCCTATTTAACCAGAGATTAAGAGAGCTAAAAAGTAATGGGAATGACACCTTAAAAAGGATGCTCACACTGACAGTTAAAAGCTCTCCAGCTTTATCAAAATCAGCAGTCCAGCTAGGAAACTGATGAGCTACTTGGTGGCCAAGTGTCAAATTTTACCACTGAAGGTGCTGGGTAGACTCTTAAAATGGATGCACTGCCCATAGCAGATGGATTGGAGGATCCTTAGCAGTTTGAAATAAATATGAAGAAAGGATTGCACACATAAATGTCAGTTAAATATGAGTAAGTACCAGGAGCGTGAGTCATTCACATGACAGTCCAGAAGGAGTTCTGATGTGAAATTGCAGAACTGCTAGGCAAGGTGCAAGGGTAGATAACTCCACCACGAAGGACCATTGTGCTGGAGGACAGGGGATGGTCACTTGAATTCCACCTGCAAAAGGCTGTAGAGGGTCTCCTGAGAGACATGACAGTGAATGGACCTGACTTCTGTCCCTGGTGAGACAGTAGGTACTATGGTAAAACATAAGATAAACAATACAGCTAAGTATGGTCTTGCAAAGACTACTGCAAAGAGAAGACATCTGTGAGGGTATCTACAAGCAGGTGGGTCCGGGAGATGTTATAGGTTTGGACACCCTAAAAGTCTTTGGCTAGAAACTGTTAAAGAATAGGAAACCTTCTATGGAAGGAAGTTGGTTCAAGTATAGAGCAGGTCATTTTCAGCTCAGAGAAGAGTCAGCAGAAAAGACCCCAAAGGACATCTCCCAGGGCTCATTTTATCATTTTATTCATCATTTTCAGCTGTACCCTGGACAAGGGACCATGCAGTGAATTCTCAAAGCTTGCAGATGACAATGTGTTAGCCATTGAACTAATAATATCTTCCGTATTTTGATAGAACGGGTAAAACTTTAACTGCAAAATCAATAAAATCTGGAGTCCTCTTACAAGGTGTGCTTCTTTCTACCTGTAAAAAGTTTTTGGGTGTACCACAGCCAAAACTCACAGGAACACTATGCAACTTGGCGACTTTTCCATCTGACAAGCTGTAACTAGATATATCATTTGGATCATAATTCCCTCAAAAGTGCATTTCAGAGCATGGAGTTCAGGCACTGCTGAATCTAGCTGCATTGTGGCAGGTATATGTAATTCCCTTGGTTTTGTTTTGCTTTAACCAAAAAGGGGCCACAAAATAGGAATTCTTGCAGTGAATTATAGCAGAACCGACAGAACTTCTCGGTAGCTCTTGATTCTCCCCCTGGCTGCCAAGAAAGTCATTGTGAATGCTCATCTGAGCCAGTGCCCTGTCCTGCCCACCCCCAGAGGAGCTTTTGTCTTGTCTGGGTCACATCAGCAGAACTCAGCAGGGAACCTGCAAAGCGCTGACAGCCTCTCAGTTCTCTGGCTGAGCTGGATGCATGTGGTTTGTTTTGTTGTTTTGCTGTGATTTCCCTCAGGAGCTCCTCAGGCATCAGCAGACACCAGTGTTTCCAGGTTGCTTTCAATACTGTCAGATTTATGAGTAGAGAGAAGGGAAGGCAGGGGTGTTCTTGGTCTTTCCTGGCTCTGCAGGATGGATGGATGGATGGATGGATGGATGGATGGATGGATGTCCTTGGAGCCCATTGGAGGCACAGCCCTGTCCAGAGCAACTACCATTGCTATCAGAACTTTTTGTTTTAAATACACAGAACTGCTTCACCTCTCTGCTTTCTAACCTTACGCCAGAGCAGTCCTTTCCAAATTAATGGAAATGAAAGCAGAGGGTGGTGTGGTGAACAGGGAGCATAGGTGGGATGAGACCTACCTCAGGTGTCTAATTTAGGGTAATCTGGTTCATGCAGATACCTCCTTGCAGGTGGGAGATGGTTCTCCCATTGATTTAACACACACAGGATGGTGGATCTGGACCAGTGTAGTGACTGAACTGGGCCCATTCCCACCAGATGATGATCTGATCTCCACACTTGCTGCATATGATTCTGCTCTCACATCAGTCGAAAGTATCCTGGGCCCAGTGCTGCTGCAGTGACACTGCACAGGCTCTGCTTTGATTGCCTGCATTGGGGTCTGCACTGGTCCAGCACGTGGTCACTTAAGGCAATGCCCATGAACCTTCTCATCAGCCGTGAGTCAGTTCCACACTCCACATTGTGCTGTCTGGGAGCATTGAGGTGAAGGGAGGCATGATCCTTCAGCTCCAGCAGCACAAATCACGGCTTTTGGACGCATCTCATTCCTGTTGACCTGGCTGGAAGAAGAGGACTTTAACCATACATCCAGATTCAGTGATACCTGGCAGCCCTGTATCAGCCCTAGCAAGTCTCGCTGCATTTGTGAAAATCTTGGACAAATAGCTATCACACATGTGTAGATCAATGATCTAGTGCATGTAGAGATGGTCAATCACATCTAGGAAGCATCAGATTTTTCTGAGCCTATGTTTCAGGTTATGTGAACCCATAGAAAGAACTCACCAGAAAACATCCTCTTCTCCAAGGACCTCCATTCTTAGATCCTATTTGTCTAAAAAAAAGGGGGCATCAGTTTGAGAATCTCAGCTCTCCCACATTATTGACCAGGAATGGGATAAATATATAAAAGGCTGTAGATACTTGCAGCATGGAAAGAGGTTAAAAATTCAGGATACTCAACAGGCAAAGGGATGGCAGGGTGGAGCACACAGCCTCTAAACTATTATTCACCAGATATTTTACCAGGTGCAAAATGTCTTGAATATTCTGTGCATTATATCAGTGTCCTTTTGGAGTTAGTAGTTTGCAAATGCCTCTGCGGATCTGCTTAGTTTTCATACTGTAAATAACAGGGTTTAACACGGGGGGGACAAGAAGGTAGATATTGGCCATGAGGAAGTGAATCACGGGAGATGCATGCTTCCCAAACCTGTGCACCAGGGATAAGCCAATCATGGGGAAGTAATAGATCAGGACAGCGCAGATATGGGAGACGCAGGTATTCAGGGCCTTGAGGCGCTCCTCCTTGGACGCAATACTCAGCACAGTCTTAATGATGACAACATAAGAGAGGACAATGAACAGCAAGTCCAGCCCAAACGTGACCAGCAGGACGAACAAGCCGTACATGCTGTTCGCTTGCACATCTGCGCACGGCAGCTGGATTAAGTTGGGGTGCAGGCAGAAGGAGTGGGCGAGCACACGGGACCTGCAGAATGGCAGCCTGATGAGGAGAATTGGCAAGGGGACCAAGAGGCCAATGCTCCTCACCACGAGCCCCAGCCCAATGAGCCCGATCCGGGGGTTGGTCAGCACTGATGCGTATTGCAGTGGGTTGTAGATGGCCACGAAGCGGTCGAAGGCCATGGCCCACAGCACTCCCGAGTCCATGATGGAAAAGCAGTGAATGAAGAACATCTGAGCAAGACAAGCATTCATCTCAATCTCTCGTGAATCGAAGAGCAGCACGCTTAGCACCGTGGGCAGCGTAGACAGGGAGACGCCAAGCTCTGTGGCAGCCAGCATGGACAGGAAGAGGTACATAGGCTTGTGGAGGCTGCGATCTGCCTTGATGACAAGGAGGATCGTGCTATTGCCTAGGATGGAAATAACATACATGGAGCAGAAAGGGAGAGCAATCCACACATTTCCACCTTCCATTCCTGGCATTCCTGTCAGAAGGAATGTAGAAGGTCTAAGGAGGCTGTTGTTGCTCATTTTCTTAAGGCAACATCTTTGTTCTATCAAAGTCCAAACAACAGATCCAACACATCCTACAAAAAAAAATTGTAGAGGTCAAAGAATAATCATGCAAAAAACCAAAACCTTTTTCTCATTGCTTTTACTGTAATGAGAGATCCAGACTTCTGAGCTTTCTATGAAACAATGAAAGGACGTTTTGTCTTTGTGAGCTGCTCTTATCAGGGAGTAATTCAGCTCCTAAGTTACAAAAAGCTTACAGAGATGGGTAGATACAGCACCTAAATGAAGGCTGAGTAATGGACATCTACATGACAAAGCAGCGTGAGATAGAAACGAGATCAGTGGCTGACTACTATGTTGAATATGTTGTAACAGAGGGCAAAAAGACTTCAAAAGTGATATGTTAGATGAGGGGTGACAATAGGCTGGTATCTTATACAAAGAGCATAAAGTCAAGGAAGCCCAGGGATGAAGAGCCCTTGCTCTGGTATTTCCTTGTCCTTCTGCAAAACAACAGTCCAGACATCTAGACTTGTGCATTTAGATATTGTTACAGCTCCCTCACCCCAAGATCTTCTGGTGCTTGAAGAATGCAATCCCTAGATCACTTCTGTGGAGGTGTTGCAGAGTTGCA